GCAGCCCATTGCGATGAATAAAACAAAACCGTGTAAGGCGGTAACTACTGGCCGCCAAGAGTCGACTAACTACTACACGAGTTCCGACTTCGGGTCCTCCACTGGTTGCTGCAGCCATTGCGGAAGGAAACTTCCGGCCTCTATGTGATGTGATTGATCGTAGGTGTAACAGAGGAGTTCCGGTACTTGGCGTGCTTGTCCCGTGACCAATAACCGAACAACACAAATAAACACACATCCAGCAATAATATTATTATTTCAGTAATTTGATACACTCGAATTATTACAAAATAACTAAACATAACGTCGACAGAACTTGAGTAACAGCGGTGATATTATAAAGTCATAGAACAAAATACATGTTTAACAATATCCTTAGACAACATTGCGAAAATCCGTTGGCGTATAATTCCTTTTTTGTAGCTCGTTCGGGCGACCATAGAAATAGTGGTGACCGGTTTTGCGTCATTAGCGATTATAAAAAATCAGTAGTACAGTGAAGTCGTGGGACAGTATGGAAGTGGCATAGTTGAGACGAGTATAGATGATATTTGACAGCGATTATAATCACTATCATAATAAAAGCATCGATTCAATTCTGTAGATAGTGTTTAATTTTAAAAAATTGGTAGTTGTTCCAAAAGCAAAATTAACTCCTATTTTTTTATTCTACTTAGACTGCCATTAAAACATAGAAAATAGGTCGCCGTATACAATAAGTTATGAAAGCTTTAAGCACCAAAATAACATTTCTGTTCAATTTTAACGGTCATTTGCACATAGAAGATAGGCCTCGGGAAATTTTTTTTTTTTTATCTCATAGTACATAATGTAAGCTTTAATTTAACATATGTTTAAAGGATGCAGTATTTCTGAAACATTTTCAAAAGTTAAGTTGAAAAAGTTCTAAATTTTATACGTACGTTTCAAGTTTTGAACGCCCTTTGTATAAAGGGGAATTTCCCGATTTTAAATAAAAATATGTCGAATGAAAGGAGTATATATAATGTATTTAAAAAAAAAATATATTGTAGATCTGTACATTTTTCAAAAAGTTATAACAATTTAAAGTTGAAAATTTTAACACAAATATAGCATTTTATTAACTACGGCAATCATTTGCACGTACGTCGTTGGGACAATTTTTTTTTAATTTATATTACGTATCTAAGTTTCAATTTGACATAAGTTTAAAGGACGCAGTATTTCCGGGACATTTTCAAAAGTAAAGTTGAAAAAGTTGCTATTTTGAATCCTCTCTTGTAGGCAGGTATAGGATCAGATTAAAAAAAAAAATCATATCAAATAAAAGGGGATTTCTTAAGATTTCAATATAACAAAATTATTTTGATTTGTTCATTTTTCAATAAATTATGACAATTTAAAAAAAATAAGTGAAAAAAACGTCGAAATTTACCGATTTTAAAAATCGTAATTTTTGGGGGGATTTTCTCCATTAACGGGGAACGTGGGAAAAATTTCCAATTGTTGAGGGTAATGTCTTCAACTAGATATGATTTTTGATCTTTTGACGTAAATAAATAAACACTTCATGGTAAAATTGATACCTTCTCAGTTTCGCATCGAAGTTAATAATATGAATTATTAAGAGTAAAATTTATAAATAACCGAATTTATTTTATAAGATCACTAAAATCCACCAAAAAATATCTTAACCCATTTTTTAACTTAGTAACAATTAAGGGGACCGAGTTTTAGTCATTAAATTTTTACCCCCATAAAAAAAATAGTTCCGGCACCTCTGATTATTTCATTTATTTTTATTCATTATAAATGGTATAAAATATAAATTCTATACATTAATATTTAATAAACTTATTATATATTGTTATATAAAATATAAATTATATATAAAGTGCTAATTAAATCATAATACCTAAATATATTTTATTATTATTAAATGGGATTACACTTAATGTATTAAATAATCATTTTTTAATAAAAAAAAACGAAGGACAGTCTTACTATTGAAAGAAAACCAAAAATGTAAAGAACTCAAATTTTAAATCTCATATACTAGATTTTTTTCAAATAATGTTTGAAATTAGTTGCTAATAAATATTCACAATATTTTACAATCTTATATATAAAATGTAATTATTATATGTATACTGATTTTGTCTTTAATTTTCTAATTAATTATATTTTTAGTTTGTATAAATTATCGTTGATTTATTTAACATCCACTAGAAAATGTAAAAAAATAACTCGAAACATTCAATTTTTTATAATAATTATTTATTATAGAATATAATATGAAATATATTTTGGGCAAGCAACTTTAGCAATTTAAGTATATTTACATTTTTGCAATCAACAAAATATATTCAGAATAATCTTAAGTAAAAACTACTTACAATATTCAGATAAAAAATTAAACATGAAATAAAATTTAATTTAATTTATACAAAAACAAATATATTTGAAATGTCAATACAAATACTATATGTTTTACAATGAAATGTATATAATCATAATACAATGATTTAAACTTTATTTTTCAGTAAAATATGTTATCCGACAGCAAGCTGTGACAAAAATAAAAGAGTTGTAAGGTATTTATATAATTTCCGAAGTCGGTGGTATATAACGTTAAAATATTGAAAATTAGAATATGTGGAAATTCGTAGATGTAAATTGGATGAATTATAATTTAACCATAATAGTAATCAGCAAATTCTAGATATTTGAGATGTTTTCTATTCGTGTAAAGTTTGTTGTCATTAAATAAGTACATTTTGTTCATGTTGAAAAATCGGCCGAAAAACCCAGTTATAAAATGGTGTCTTTCGTTAATATAATTGTGTTGAATTTCCATGTTGAGTTCGAATAATTTTCCAAATTGTATCAACTAGAAAATTAATTAATCAACATTAACTACAATTGTGATTTACCTATAGAAATTAGATTAATTTACTTAATTTCGACCTGTACTTTTAGGTATGTGCAGTGCTATGTTGGGAATAATAATTCTCAGCAAGTCGAAGAGTTTATTACCGCCTACTACCTAGTCGTTACACATATGTTTTTCAAGACTGTAAAACTTGGTGTTTTTTATACGAAGGACCGCCCGATGCGGAGACGTCATTATGACCTGTAGCTCATATTTAGCATCGATATCAACATCGATTACTCGAGTGTATCTCTTGGCCAATTGGATGACGTTATCCAACAGCACCACAAAACGGATCCATAGTGACGTCTAGACGGGGGCATCTCAACACTATATGTGTGCTTAAGATATCGGGACAAACGGAATAAAATGATTCTAAAAAACATTTTCGTTAATAGTAAAATACTAAAGTTTGTTTAAATAATTATTTTATTACCATTGTCCATCATGATTTCTTCGTCAAATTTAGAGAACAATGAGAACAACCTCTTATCCCATAAATGATTTTTAATATCATGAGGACGAGTTCTAGTAGCGGTTTTTTTTGTTATTATTATTTTCACGTCATAAAGTTCTATTCTCTTTAGTCTTTTCCAAGACTTTAGATGTTTTAATAATTTCTGTTCATTTTTTAGACGGTTTTCTATTAAAGTTGTAAGAATTACTCATTAAAGTGTTGTTTTCTTTAGTTGATGTGTTAATATTTTAAATGGTTGAGTTGAAAGATTATTTTTTGACGATGTTTTGTCCAAGTTCAATGAATTATCCATTAATGTAATTTTCCTATAGAAGTTTTAGAGGGCTCTTTTTTGGTTTCAATAATTGTAGTTAGCGCAAATTTATCTTCTCTGAGCAGTTCTTTTAAAATTGAATTATTTGATAAAATAGGTATCTCCAATTTAATAGGATGTGTAGTAAAAACTGAGCGAATATTCATAATAGGTTTTACTGCTTTAATTAAAGTTTTTTTCTTCTTTGAAAGTTTCATCTCCAAAAAATTCAAAAACTGCCAGTGCAATAAATATAATATCTCTGTCTACTTGAATCGGAAATATGAAATATATGACCAACGTCGTTATCCTGAAAAAAAAAATTCGAATCCATTTTTTCTTATAAGTGTATGCACTCAAAACTTGAAATTTTTAAGTTATACTTAGAGAAAAAAGAAAGATTTAAATATATGCGTACTAATTTATCACAAAAAAATACTTAAACAAAAGATCACCAAACGGTGCCGATTGAAACATCATTGTTTATCCTATTTAAGCAAAAAAAAAAAAAAACTTGTTTACTTTTTTTTTAAGCCAATTAATACAACAAAACATTTTTAACAATTGGCCAACAATTATTAAATTTGTTTGATAAAATGTGTTATTTGAATATAAAATGTAATTAATATAAAGTTACAAACCGTACCAATATATTCATTAAATAAAGCTACTGTCAATTACTTAAAAATTAATTGTATCTTAAAAAATATTTCTATGAAACCAAGATTAGAATTTTTTTTTATAACATTCTTTCAATAATAACTAATTTGGTCACTATGTTATAATTGTTTTTTATTTTGACGTACACGATATGTATAATGCGAAGAATATAAAATAGATATTGGCTTCAAACAACCTATAGCGATCGTGAAATAACATATTTATCTTTAAATTAATGAAAAAATTTGTTTTAGCAACGTTATTTGTTGTTGGCTAAAAAATCGGAAAAAAATAGTATAAAAGATCTAGAAAACTAAAAATTCATTGGGACTTTTAGTCTAATCAGCGAACAAAGAACATATAAGTTTTTGTGGAAGCCTACCAGTTTAGAAGTCTCTGTTATATTTTTCATATTGTTTAAATTTATATTTTTTTATTTTCATTTTTTTTTTCGAGTGAATTTCATTTACATGATGAACACTTTACCTATTTTTTCGTCTTTGTTGCTTGTTTATTTTTTTATTCCTATTTCAATTATTCAAGATCTCGCTTTTAGTGGTATTTTAGTTTTAATATTTCTTATATTTTTGGACGATGAACTTTCTAAGCAGAATAGAACTATGAAGTCAAAAAATAAACCTATTAGTACATCAACCGAAGAAAACATTTTTGAGAATAATACACCTGACAATTCCATAGAAACTAACCTGAACAGTGCTTGCTTGAATATATCACACCCCCAGCTACCGAACAATGACTTTACCGACGATGTCACCCTCTGTCACCTCCAAAACGCTACAGAGATGTGCGAGAACAACAATTCGACTCAAATAAGTCACTCAACTGAATCAATTCAATCACATACACCAGATTCGTTATTTACCAGTAACACTTTGCAAATTAAACATAATTTGGGCAGTAATAGATCAAATAAAACTTGCTCTAATGATATTCCAAAGCACTTATGGAATAAAAGACACTCCTTGTTTGAAAAATTTGATGACGGAATTCTTTTGGACTATGGTAATTAAATTAATACTCTTTCTTAATCTTTTATTTTTTTAATGTTAACTATTATTTTAGAATCATTTTATTCCGTGTGCCCTGAAATATTGAGCAAACATATTGCCAAGAGGTGTGAAGGTTACAATGTAGCGATGGACCCGTTTTGTGGCGCCGGAGGTAACGTAATTCAGTTAGCAATGAAGTATAAAAAAGTGATCGCGATAGACATCGACCCGAACAAATTGGAATTTGCTAAGAAGAATGCGGAAATTTATGGTGTGAGGGATAAGATCGAATTCATCGAGGGTAATTTTTTCACTTTAGCTAAAGACCTAAAGAAATACAAAGCTGAAGTCATTGTAACTTCGCCTCCATGGGGAGGACCGTCGTACAAAAACCATAAAGCATACAGTTTGGAGAAAAATATGTGTAGTGAATACGAAGGTGGCGGTCGAACGATCTTCGAATTGGCCCGAAGTATTGCTCCAAACGTAGCACTACACATACCTAAAAGTACTGACCGAAATGAAGTAAGTTTCTATTTCTTACGCAATACATATAACATCAGTTAATATTTTTCAATTCATTTTTTAGTTGTTCAAATTAGGAAAATACTTTAATAACAACATAGAAATACAGAATAACTTCATTAATGGAAAACTGGATTCCATCACCACATTTTTTGGTAGATTCAATTACATGAATTCAAAACGCAAGCAAACTAATGTAAAACTCTTTAGTCAAAAAAGAAAACAATATTAATATTCGACACGATCAAATTTTTCGATTGAACTAATATAGACTATTACTAATTCCGACATAAATATAGAATGTTACAGATTTTGTCTTCCAATAATTAATGATTATAAACTATGACAAATTTACCGATTTCAATAATTATATTTTCCTTATAACTCTCATATTTTGTCTCAGCTATAACTGTAGGATGATCCTTTTATCTTTAATGATAAATTCAGACAAGTATACACTTGTTATTTACATTTTTAGTGTTCACCAGTTATTTTTTTGTTATTATTTTTATATATTTTCATTCTTTGATTTATTTTAAATATTCATTAATTTTTTTTTAATACTTTTCATTATAAAAACATGATTTTTTTAATATTACATGTACCTTTGAATTTGTGTTTATATTACACAATATTTATTTTATTGATTGTTATTAATTTATAACATTTCTATTTGTTTTCTCAAAATTGTATAAATCATTATTAACATATCTTAATAAATTATTTGTGTTTTGTTAATTCAAAAAATAATTATTAATCATTTAATATTACAAAAATATAAAAAATTAAAAATTCCTTATTTTCAAANAATCATTTAATATTACAAAAATATAAAAAATTAAAAATTCCTTATTTTCAAATAAAAGACTATGAAATTTTCTTGTTTATTTTAGCTAGCGACGTATATGAAATAGCAATAAAAAATTTTTAATACATTATTTGAGTAATTTTTTAAAATATAGAGTACTACAAGTACTATAGGTTAAAAAAATAATTGTCTCGACATATTATCATCTATGTACAAATGCCCACCGTAGTTAAAACGATTTTATATTTTCAACTTAAATTGCTATTATTATTTTTAAAAAAACCCAGCACAGGGGGGTCGCGGCACAGTAGTGACGTGGCATAGATGGATCAAGTATAATGATATCTGACAGTGATTAAAATCACTATCAAAAAAAAACGCTTCGATGCAAATCTTTAGATAGTGTTGCATAATAAAGTACATTACATTAGCTTTAATTTAAGATATATATAAAAGTGTCAGACCTTCCTGAACAATTTCAAAAGTTAAGTTGAAAAAATAAATTTTTTGTAAAAAAGTTGTCATTTTAAATCCCCCCCTGTAGGAAGGTAAAAAATCAGATTTATAAAAAAAATATACCAAATGATAGGTAAAGACATCATGCATCTATAAAAAAAAGAATTATATTAATATGTTCATTTTTGAAAAAGTTACGGCAGTTTTTAGTAAAAAAATTGAAAAAATTTCGAAAATTAGCGATTTTTAAATTTGTAATTTTTTTGGAGGTTTCCCCCATTTACGGAGAGCGAGGGATTTTTTTTTCAATTTTTGAGAGTAATGTCTTTGACTAGATACGATTTGTGATCTTTTGACGTATCATTGAAAGAAATCGGTTCGGTGAGAGCTGAGAAAAAGTGGTAACAGACACAAAATAAAAAAAAATAAACACATCTTAGTAAAACCAATACCTTCTCAGCTTCGCATCGAAGCTAATTTATGCATTAGACAATCTATTTTATAAACATTTCAAACATAATTTTTTTTCCGACCTACTTTTTTAGATATCGGATCATTTCCCTTTATACAGAAGGGTTCAACTTAAAACATACGTATAAAAAGTAGAATTTTTTTAACTTGAAACTTATGTGACATACTATAAGTTAAAAAACAAAAAAATTAGACACACGGAAAAGTTAGAGCTGGCAGTCATTAGTATAGTTTCCTCCTGAATAACTACTCTGATTTATTATATAAATTAATATTACATAATAAAAAAAACTGAAGTGCATTGAATGAACGCAGCCCGGTGGTATTCACGCGGATTTATTAACGTTAGTTTTTTTATTTTGTCTTAAGTTAGGCTATGTCGAAGAAAAGGTATAAGGTGAGTGGACTGTATGAATAAATGTAGAATGAATTTTCAAAACATATATCAATTAAATGTATTATACATAAATCATAAAATGTTATATACACCTATGTGTATAAGCGGACACTTAATACTAATGCCACAATGGCGCTGAAATAAACAAATAATAAATTATAAATGTGAGTAAGTCTTAGAAAGTAGATGAACAAGCATTATACTTATCGGCTAATTGAAACGACTGATGATAATGTTGAATATTGAAAGGATCAATTGAAGTTGAATGCTAGTAAGTAACTGACCAACGTGTACAATATGCTGTAAACGGTACTGTGATGAATCTCAGAAAATATATATAGACTAGGGTGGCTCTCAAAAATCGAATGTCTTTTTTTTTTTTACGCTACCCCTTAATTTTTTTTTAATGGTCAAAAAAATGAGCTGTGCAAAATTTGGGACCGATCCGTTAAGGATAACCCGTGCCCCCGGGCCTATTAAGTTGAGTCGAAGAGTCAAATTTAATAGAAATAACTGATCTATGTCTCATAACTTTTTTTTCTCTTAACTTAGAATAATAAAAGTAAAACTCAAGTAAAGGAAATTTTACAAGAAATTCAAAAATAATAACTTCAATGTTGTTTTCTCAATAAATAGCCCACAAAAACACTACATACAGTAAAAAACATGTAAAAGTCTTAAAATACGTTATAACTGATTTTGTTGATTTTTAATTATTTATTTTCATTTTATTTTTTGGAAAACGCATATTCGTTTAAAAAAAGATTCTAGAAGTTTAATTTTTTATGCCAAGTACGATAATTATATTAGATTTATTATTTTATGGACAGTTAATTAATGATTAATTACAAACTTAACAGTTTAATTTAATTGTTATTAACAATTTTTAATTAATTTTTTTTTAAATAATAATAACTTTAAAAAAAATATTTTAACAATAATTAAATTATATTATTATAATATATGTATATATATTATAATATATATATTTTGATAATGTACTTTTTTTACAATTAGGAAATTTTTCCGATAATTACTTACTATTTGTAAAACGTATTGTTTCTGTTCTTCATTTGTAGTTAATATATTAATGTAGTCTTAGATTAATTTAATGCCACGCTAGGCTGTATCATTAATGACTCGTAATTTACTTATAGTATTTAAAGCATTTATGTAACTGTTGTTCGCACTCCAAAATGATGGATCAATTTTCAAAAAATCAGTGTTCAGATTAAATAGTTGTAAATTTGATGGTAACTTACTACCAGTTATTTCGTGGGAATAATTACCAATAAGATAAATATTAGTTCGTAATACTTTAAAAGACGCTAAAAGTATTGTACATTTGTGATTAAAACGTATCATTTAATATATAATAATAAACATGTAAAATATATTTAACGTGTTCACAAATTGTCTGCTGCATTTATACGACACAAATTATGTCAGTTGTCGAAAATAACTCAAATATTCTTATCTTTAATAATAATATAATTGGTACTATCTTAAAGTAATTCAGTAAACCAAAATTGATATATTGATACGACAAAATGTAATAATACAATCAATTTTGTTAAATTTGTAATTAATCATTAATTAACTGTTCATAAAATAATAAATCTAATATAATTATCGTACTTGGCATAAAAAATTAAACTTCTAGAATCTTTTTTTAAACGAATATGCGTTTTCCAAAAAATAAAATGAAAATAAATAATTAAAAATCAACAAAATCAGTTATAACGTATTTTAAGACTTTTACATGTTTTTTTACTGTATGTAGTGTTTTTGTGGGCTATTTTGTTAAGAAAACAACATTGAAGTTATTATTTTTGAAATTCTTGTAAAATTTCCTTTACTTGAGTTTTACTTTTATTATTCTAAGTTAAGAGAAAAAAAAGTTATGAGACATAGATCAGTTATTTCTATTAAATTTGACTCTTCGACTCAACTTAATAGGCCCGGGGGCACGGGTTAACCTTAACGGATCGGTCCCAAATTTTGCACAGCTCATTTTTTTGACCATTAAAAAAAAATTAAGGGGTAGCGTAAAAAAAAAANGACCATTAAAAAAAAAATGAAGGGGTAGCGTAAAAAAAAAAAAAGACATTCGATTTTTGAGGGCCACCCTAATATAGACCCAACGGCGATATACTGAGCGAAGAAGAGTGCGACAATCACAAAGGTGATTTTTTACTTTTACAACAAAAACGAATACAAAACTACTGACTCGCAAGCGCCATAGAACTGATAGCTAAAATACGCTAAGATGGCGGCGACTTAACAGACATAGAGAGAAAACCGACAACAACTCGATGAAGACTACGATAGCACAAAAAATCACAACCCAATTACTCGACAGCATATTGATGTGTATCCAACATGCATATTAATGAATTTATTGGCTGACATTTCATAATATGTGCTAGTTTCTTTTTGTTAATTAAAGATCGTATTTCCAAAACTTAAAATGTTCCAAAAAATTTTAATTGATGTTATGATTTTAGGAACACATTTTTTGTAAATTAAAATTATGAAAATTTAGAATTCCTTACCCATTTGTTTTTGCTTTTAAGTTAAATTTTTCGGTATTTTTCAAAATAATGTGCATTTTGTTAACAAATATTACTAGTTAGAAAATTGTTTGTCGTCATCTACGCTTACCGGCACGCGAAATTTTAAAACGTATCACGGCTCTTTCAACCTCCCTACCGCCTCTATCTTCTATTATCATCTGACTAGTTATCACTGAATTATTAATAAAAATATTATAACTTAAAAATTAAATAACACAAAGTAATAAATACTGTACATTATAATTATATTAATTAAAAATCATTCTTTAGACATGGTTTTACCGTTTATTATATAAATACTTCAATAATCTAATTAAGGAACACAAGTTAAAATATTTAGAAATATTTGTATTACTTAGTGATATTGAAATTTATGTTAGTTGAAGTATGTAAATTAATTTAGTTCCCTTAAATAAGATACTTGGTGAATTTGATTTTCGAACATTAGTTACAAGGTATCTTGATCTACTTGATTCATTTAGAGATTCAACCCATGGTTTAACATTATCAATGCCAAAATCACT